TTGACTTGGCTATTAGAGTTGTTCTTCAATAGAACTTTGGTAGGGACCTTCAACTTGTGGCATATGAATCACGTAAGTTCAAAAGGATAGAGCGCAATTACTCTATACATAATTGAGAATAAGTAGTGATTATACATGCCACAAAGGTGTGGTGATATTACCTATTGGAGAAGCCAATGGTTGTTCGGACTGACCATTGATCTTTGTTAGATGAGTTGCATCTGGAAAATATGAAATTGTAGCATCATTGTTGAAAAAAATAATTACAGCTTTTTCATATCCAGCTTGAATATAAGCAAGGGCGATAACATATTGTGCCAAATAGCTTATCATGGAGACCAAACTTGAACAATAAATTGAGAGACAAGATAGAAGTTACTACCATTAGTAGTGTCATTTTAAATCTAACCAAAGAGGGAGAATAGAAAGAAACTATGCATCAAAATGCTTATTTTAAGATAATTAGTAATCAATTGAAGGTGGATAATATACAATATTAGGATTATATTCTTAATAATAGCTTGCTCTATTTTAAAGAGTGAATTTATATATTCAATAATGCTAAACTATGGGTGCACATGTTTTAGAAGGGATATGACATTCTAATATCTAGACATCTAGGACAAGAGAAGACTCTAGAATAGAACTCAACAACATGGTTTTGAGCAAGTTTGGATCATGATATTTAAGCGTTTGTACACTTCTGTGAGTCATGTCAACAAATAAAGCATGCAATGTAGTATTTCTTAAACTATTGCAGCCAATTCTCCTATCTATGACACATTGAGAGCAAATGACTATGGATTTCATTACGTGTTGCCTTAGACGCTTCATAATCATATCGCGGTTTTTTTCTTTTTCGATTGACTCTCAAAGCAACTTCACTTGGCCGCAATGCACTTGGATATTGATGCCTCAATGCTTGCATGACTCTTCTTTGATACCATCTTTTGTCACTATCGATTATCTATAAATATTATCTATTTGTTTGTTAATCATTTATACACAACTATCCAAACTTTTCATCAAATTAAGACAAGTCACTCAATAGATTTGGAGTACATGGACTATTTTGTAATATTTTTTGTATTTTATTTCAACTAATTTAATCTCATTTTGTTTGTTTGTTTGTTGTTTTTGTATAAGAGCATAAATGCATGTTCCAAAATAACCTCCATGCAACAAGATTTATTTATTTATTTTATTGATTATTTTTTAGAACGAATTAGATGACACATTTTCTTATCAATTCCAAAAACTTGCATACATATTTGGGTCCATCTAGTCAAGTACGGCTTTGGGTCCTTTCTCTTAGTAAAATTTGGTTTTGCATCTTTTTGTTTAATTTTGTTCTATTATGTTTCCGATTGCTTAGTTTTATCTTTGATGTCTTATTTTGTTTAGTTCTATTCAATTTTATTTTGGTTTATTTTGTCCTATTTTGTAATGAGGCTTTATGTTGCTATGGATTACAAGGATCTTGGATTTTTGAGATAGTCTGGTCTTGTTTCAACAAGAATAGAATCCAATTGAAAAAAATGTAAGTTAATTCATTTGAATATTAAGTGGCTTCTTTTTCCAACTTTAATGTTAAGATTCTAGCACCAATATCTCATTTTTAAATTATTAAATTACTCTAAAATATATAGCTTGTTGTAGCTTCTTGTATATAATATAAAGTAAATCTCTTATATTTTATTTCTTCAAATTCTTGGAATCTTGTCTTTTGCAAATGTTATATCTATAATAATTTGTTAAGAATAATACAATGTTATTCTGTAGTTATATGGCCAATAGGTTAATATATATATATATATATATATATATATATATATATAGAATATCCTAATTAAAAATATATAATAAAAAATATAGATTAAAAGTAGGAAGGTAATAAAATCTTTTTGTGTTAAAAATGTCTTTTATGAAAATAGATTCTACCTACTTTGAATGGCCATAAATAAGAAAAACCAAGATAGATTAGAAAAATAAAGAACTTGCATAAATGTAGTAGATATCTTGGCATTAGAATCACAATATAAAAGATCAAGTTATTAAAATATATTAATTATTTTTTTAAAAAAAATTCCACTCGTAAATCTTATCATACTTATAATTTTTTATTTTTATTAATAGACCACATCAAGTATAATTATATTACAAGAAGTAAGTAGCTACAAACAAAATGTAACAAAATTTTATTTTTTTGTGGTAAATAATAAAAATAGAAAATATTTTAGTAATAAAAATATATAAAAAATATATATTTTATTACAATTTAAAATAGATATATATATATATATATATATTTATATTTATATTTATATATAATTGTACTTGATAAATAAATTTTAAAGGGAGCCATGACTCTTGTGCAAATAATTTTAGAATATATTTTGTGTATTATTCTTGCACCAATAAGATTAATTCAAATCATTTATTTTGACCATGCATACCTAGTTAATTTCATATTTCTATTCAATTGGTATGTTTAAAACCTTTTATAATTTACAATTATATTTTAAAAAAAGACTCTGAATTTTAATTCTAATAATTAAGAAAATTCTAATGCTGAATTTATTAATATATTTTTATTAACAAGATAATTTTCTAATTAATTAAAAAAATAATAATTACCAATATTTAAAATTATATATAAAAATTAATTCTAAAAATAGTATTAAATAAAAAATAAAATTTATAAATTTTTGAGATATAAATTTATTTAATATTTTTATCTTTTTTTTATTCTTTTAAATATTTCATTTAATATTTTTAAGATATTAAAATTATTAAATAAATAATTCTTAAATTTTTAATTAGAATAAAGATTAAGTAGAATAATCTAAAATAAAAAATTATAAAGAAATTTAAAAAATATATATTCGTGAAATAAAACATTAAAATACCTTGTATTCAAATTCTAAACTACCTTGTATAGAAAAAAAATAAAAAAGTTAAGAAACTAATATCTTAAAGAAAATTTAATTTCTTATTGGAACAAGCAAGAAAAAATTATTTTCTTTAATTTTTTTTTTTTTTTTTTTTTTAAAAATAATATATCAATTGAATTCATATATTAAACTTCATATTTCAATTTTTTACTTTATATGAGTGATCTCATTATAATTTCAACAGTCAAAAACTTTCTTCTGAGAAAATATCTTATCTTCTATAAAAATATCTAATAAAACAATGTTTTAGATGTACTAAATCTTTAAGATAAAACCCTTAGGATGTAAATCCTATAAATCATATTTATAAAAAAATTAAAATAACTTATTATTACATATTGGTTTTTAAATTACTTTCTCTAAATATATAAAATAACCAATACTTCTCAAAAACAATTTAATTCAATTTCAAAAATTCAAATTTATAAATTATATACTAACAAATTTAAAATACTAAGATATTCAATAAAAAGATAAACATATTGAATTTTTTTATATATTTTATAAATAAAGATTTTTATTTTAAAAAAATTGATAAAAAAAAATCCCCTTATAAAAATTGCTTTGCTAAAAGTAGGTATAAAATAAATTTTATTTAAAAATTCCAATTCATGTAATTCTACACATTATTTTGAGTTATTTAAATTAAATATCTTAGGTTGTGTACTTTATATAAAAAGAATTAATTAAACATATTTATAAAAATCTAATTTTAAAAATATTATTATTCAATGTTAAAATTATTTCTTGGACTTTTATTTATTAATTATTAAATATATTAAATTATCAAGAAGTAATAAAAAAAATAACTTTGAAAGAAAAAAATGGTATTTTTCATGCAACCAAAGAAAAAGTTTAGCTTTGTGAGTTTGTCTTAAATATTAGATTTTTTAATAAATTATGAAGTGAGATATATTTAATAATCATTTAAATTATTTGTTTTTAAAGATTAATTTTAAATTTGATTGAATTATGAATATACATATATATATATAGATGTGTGTGTGTGTATGGAATTGATATGTTGAATAAGGTTTCTACTGAATTTATATGGTTTTAGTCACTAATTAAGCCATTCTTAGATCAATAATAACCAGTAGAAAACCAGAATATCACAATCATTAGCCTAAACAAAATGATTGTATTGAATAAACCATTACAATCTATGTAGCAAAGAATATGCACACACACTCAAGTAGGAGGAAAAATTAAACTACAAAGGCTTCAGTAAATGCTTCAGAAACAAGAAACGAGAGGATACAGTTCTTTACTGAAAAGAATCTCCTTATTCTAAAATAACAAGAGGTGTGGTGCTTGTGATAAGAGTATCAATCCATGTACCTGTTCAGTAACAAATATGTTCCAAGACAAACACCATGAAATAAACACCATCATGAAATTTTAGAATCTTGTGAAAAGGAGAGGGAGCCTTACCCTGTAGATGAATTAAAAATAAATAAATAAATATATTACTGTGTAGATGCCTTCAATAGGGTTGGGAAGGAATTACACAATTGAAGTACACACAACGGAATAAGAAAATAATATCATGGATTCCTCAACACCTTTTTTGGATTCCTGTCCCACTTGCCCAGCGACTTAGGTCACAAAGGGAACACGCATGGGAGCGCCAAAGCATGCGAAGGGAACGGGCTGCTCTTTTGCATTCGAACTTCGTCTCGCACCTCCAGTTCCATGTAGCCAGACAGAACTGGAATTCTCCACAGCGCAGCACCACGTGATCGATCAATTGTTCGATGCTCGTCTTTGTGAGAATTCTCACTACTGGTCCCGTCGCGCATCCGCTTCAAAATTTTTGTGTTGAGTTTTTCGGTTGAATTTTGAGGAATTTTTTCGATCTTAAAATATTTTTTTTGTCGATTTTTAGTAGAGACGATGATCGGTTGTTTGATCATATGGCGGTTTCGTCTCGGGAATTTGGTAGGAGGAGGCTGGATTTTGGCTTGGGAGCTCTTTACAACGGTTGGACTCTGGAAATGCGTTGAGAGTCGTAATTCGAACATGATTTCTGAGTTTTAAGTAGGATTTTACTAGTGAGCATTACTGTTCGGTTTTTGTTGCTGGGAATATCAGAATGGATGAAAGAGAATGCTAGAGTTTGTGCAGGAGGTCAGTGTACTTGATTTGGATAGAAAATTTTCATTTTTTCTCCTGCATACTTTGGAATCTTTTTGGTGCCTGGCAACGTTTAGAGCTCGGTTTAAGTGAAAATGACATGGTTTGCGTGGTAACGCACATTGTAGTAAGTTCAATTGAAAGAGATGGAGGTGATTGCTTTGCGTATGGTTGGAAAGTGGTCTGCTCTTGGTGTGGAGTTTCTTGGAGGTTTCTAGAGGATCATCCGTGGTTGTGTTAGTTTTTGGATAGTGTTGCAGGGTGATGCTTATTGATCACTTTTTAGTTTGTCTCTTGCATTCTCTTCTCTGCACTTTTTGTCTACTCGCGAGGAAGCAATGTCGGAGTCGCGAATGGGAAGTGCAATCTAGTCATATCAACGCCACTAGGTCACTCAGTTCTAAATTTAGAAAATCAATGCAAGTCTTTGACGTCGAGTGTGCAAGCTTTAACGCTTTCACTTGGTTTTGACGTTGACGGTTTGAATGATTTTGAAAAGCACAGGTTAGTAAGAACATGCGTTTATGTTGGATTGAAAGGAAAGAGGTGTTATGTAGATTCATGGAATTGGATTCTGATAACTATTTCACTTCTTGTCGTTTTCTGGTTGCTAAATATGACAAATTAGAACTTTGGCTTAACAGGTACAATCGTGATCGACAGCCGTGACTTTCGGGAAATTAGAACAATAGTTATGCTGGTTATATCCCTCATGAGTGTCCGCGGGTTGTCGTTTTTAGCACCAGATAGTTTTGTCTTTCATCTTTTAACAGTTTGTTCTGTTTCGCGGCCATAGTTATCAAGTCGTGGGACATACAAAGGATGATCCGTGGGACCCCTTATCTTTCAATTTTCAAGTTGTCGTTTGCATACTTAAGGCCTCTGTGCGGATTAAGATCGTGACCACTCATCTAATGCTAACGTTTATGGCCAGCTTCTCACGGTAGCAAGTCAGTTCATTCCGGTCAATATCCGTGGATGCTCAAGATAACTGTATATCCTTTAGCCTAGCCTTACAACTGTATATCCTTTAGCCTAGCCTTGCAAGAGAGTTATATGCTTTCGATGAATTTACATTGTAAGCTCACACTCATTGTAGTCACGCTTAAGTTCCAATTCTATCAGCTCCTTGGTTCTGTCGTTCACGATGCCCTCTTTAACGCGGGTTTGTGTTTGTACCGCAGTTTTTAAAGACAAGGAATCAAATTTGGCTCACGGTCAGGTGGCTTGTAAGATATAGAGAGAGAGGCTACAGAGTTAATATTTGAAGTTCGTACTCAGATGTCTCACCAGAGACGATGTTCAGCATTTCCAAGGATAGTTCGAATAATTCAGGTATGAGATTTTTTTTCTTCCTTCTGTCACAGTCTCGTTATGTAATTTTAGCTTTTTAAAAGTTCGCAATGAATGTCTGTCCTCTAAGTTTCTTTTATATCTACGCCTGTCTTTGATTAAATTGTACACGAAAATTCTTTTGGACGAACTGACCTGACTCCGAAGGAATGCCTGGGACATGCTAAGTCTGCTGACATAGCATCAATTGCTGGTTTTAGGGTTGAGTAACTTCAGAATTCCTGGCAGTGGTATTTTCAATGGAAACTTTGCGTGTGTTTTTCTCACAAGGTTCAGGGTGCGATGGTCCTAATGAGACACACATTATTGCAAGAAGGGAAACTTCACTTTTGCACTTGAACTTTAGAATAGAGAGGTGCTTTTTTCAGCTCCTCATTGTCCAACCTCAAATTTGTAGCCAATCATCTTACGTATCTTTCAGTGATAGACATGTATGAAAGTATGAGCTCTCTTGTCTGCAGTCGCATTTTGGCGGATTTTGACTGCAACATTCAAGGTGTAATCATGAAATGATGATCAAGCATTTGTGGATAGGAGTGTATTCTGTCTCTGATCATCATTGTTGGCATTCTATTGAGTGTCTATCCTGGAATTTGAATTTCTCAGCATCGGTGGTGGAGTCTATTGCATTGTAAGTGATCTCTAGATACGAAGTAATGAATACTCTCTTCGTAGGTAAGAATACGATGAGACAGTGATGGATAAGTTTCTCTCGTGCACTCTGTTGTACGTCATCAGTTTTGCTTTAATCTACAGGTCATCTGATTTAGATGTCTGGGACCTATTTTCTAGTTGAAATTGGATTCAAATCTAATTATGACTTGTTTTTATTGTGCAGTACCCAAGCATTTATCTACCTTGGAATGGAACACCTAGTTTTCAAGTCGGATCAAACATTCAGTAGACTCAATGTCGACGACTACTGCACTGCAGCGAATGATGGCGGAAAGTCAGCGTAACGGTACCAGCCGCGTATCCAAGGGGACAACCAAGCCTCCATACGCAGCAAGCAAGCGGACGAAGTACAGTAATTTAACGTGCCCAATAACTCGTTCTAATTGCTCTAATACAGAAGTATCGTCGAAGAAGATGGCGCGCATTTCATCGCATTTGTATTCTAGACCATCCTCAATCATTCTCCGAATCAAGCAACACCCCCTTTCACTTGAGGTCCATCTCCCTGAACAGAGCCTTCCAAGTTCTTCAGCAACAGATTCCTCGGATTCAGACAACAGCCATGGTGGGGCGACGCGATCATCCAGCACAGTGAATAAGAAAACATTTGATGATGATTCTGATGCTGAGAGCTCCTATAATGCTGACGGGGAGGTATCATGCGTGATCGACTCTTTTGCTGAGCTGGAGAACGCAAACGCATTTGAAAATCGTTCTATTTTGATCCATCGCATGGCTGAGGTATTAATATTCCTGGATAACCTTGTGCTTGTTTTCTAGAAAAGTTTTATTCTTCACTAGTGCTTTGGATTATATTGATGGTCAGAGATTGAAATTCGCCTTGAACCATAAGCTTGTGGCTTACATTTCTGAAATGCTCGTCTTCTGTTCTCCTGTGTAAGCATATTTTGTCTTGTTACGATGCTCTCTTGCTTTCGTAATGCACATGTTGGTGTATCAGTGCCGTTGCTGCCGAATGGTATTGATTGGTCGTATCCCCTTCTTGTTCAGGTTGCATTGAACATAAAATTAGGACCTACTGGACTGTATCTGGCCGTTCAACTTCTAGACTTGTACTGGAACCACCACCGTGAAAAAGGCAAGCTTTTGGATTCTGTACAGCTACAAGTACTTGCAGTCACTTGCGTCTATGTCGCAAACAACTGCTTCTGTAGCAGCAAAAGGTACAAAGAAATCACTGATTCATCCAACACTTTATATTCAAATATCTTCCTTGTTTACAAATGCTCTTGTGATTGCTCGAAACATTAATATGCCAAGATGAACCTACGACACTATGATGAAGTGATAGCTCAGATGACAATCTGGAAATAATGACTAGAGTAGGAAAATTAGGTGAAAGTTACGTATTGACGTGTTTAGAACTTTTAGATTTTGGTGAAAATTCGTGACTTATCGAAGTGTCTATGTAAACAGGGCCCCAGACGACTTTTGCCTTCTTGCAGGTGTAGGGGAAGGAACTGTGAAAGGATGCATGATAGAGAAACAAGAAGCATCTCTTATTGCCTTGCTGGGAGGCCCGCAAGTTGCAGCCACGATTTCTACTTGGGGGCTTTGGTCCGTGCTTCATGCTTATGACTACAATTGTGTTACATATGGAAGTATTTTTTTGAAATGTAATATCTCTGTTTGTGACATACTGTATTATTTGCGTATCGGTCTTTCCATCAAACAAGTGACATCATAGGATGGTGGTGAAGGTGTTGTAAACCGCTACATGTCTTAATAATGTATTGTGTGTGTTGTAATTAGGCGCAAGATGAGACATCCATCCAATCAGCAACATCTACTTCAGTTTGTAAACTTACTGAAGGGTTCTGATTTTGGAAAAGCTCACTTCCCACGCGATCTCATGCAAGCATCGCACTTTTCGAGTAGTGCTTCAACTGCAACCGTTGAAGTTTTGTCAACAAATGCAGCAGCTAAGGTAAGAGTGTTACAATATACAACAGACAAAGCTCCTCGTGGCGTTGAACAGTCACGCAATGAAATGATTAACAAGCTGCATTCTCGATGTTGCCCAAGTCCGCAACAGACGTGTCCTTGTGCGACTTGATTATTTTATAAAATTATCTTATGTATCTTAGTGGTATCTACTGTCTTGTACTCCGTGCAGGTTGTAAATTCCATCTTATCATCAGCTCAAGGTTGTGCTCCTACTTAAGTGGTGAGAAAGGCCCTTTTTCACAAACCAACCGTGTTTATGCCAATGCATGGAGGTGCAGCCCAAGTTTAAGGGCGATCAGCGTCGTGTAAATGATCGGGGTTTTGGCTTGCCCCTTGTGACTGAACAATAAGTTGGTAAGTATAATATGCGAGGTGAAAATCTTAACAGAGATGCTTAAGATTTATCTGAACAATCCTAACACCAGCAATAATAGCATTGGAATGAGCCCGAACGTGCTGAAGGGTAGCCATCACACCTTCAAGGAATCTGTAAAATGTTTAGTTGGGCCCCAGATTTGATAATCAGGGAGAAACCAACGTTCACTGACCCTGTTAAGGCTCAATTGTTAAAATGCTTAGGTTTGCTGCTCAGTACATAAGTAGATGGTTGATAGCTTTTGGAATTTATTAGGGTTCCATGGATTGTCGAGGTGAGGTGTGTAGTATCAATGCAAGCAAACGTTAGCTCATGCACATACGTCAACTGCAAGGATATGTTAAATAAGCGTGATTTTGCTTGGTCTTGGTGTACTAACTCACATGGCACCGAAGGGTGGTGTACAGCTTGGATCACTGTGTATAAACTTAATAAAGTGATTGCTTCAGTTTAAGCTGAATGTATACTGGAACTGTTGGCTCATGTGATACTGAGACGCTACTGATGAGCTGAAAAGCGAGTATGCGACTGTGAGCTGCAAGATTCATATGAATCGATGGGTTATTGGATGATCGCCATCTTGAAACTTGTGAGACACTTAAGGAAGTTCAAGTGCCATTCAAGTGGCACGAACTTGTCAACTCGACTGGGTACAATAGTTTCCTCCTCGTACCTGGATGTTGAAACTCTTCCCCTTTAGTGGAGTCAAAGGGATGCAGAAAGTATACATGTGCTGGAGCTCGTCGTGCGTGAAGAGTTTGAAGCACTGGCAATCGAAAGAGCTGAGGAAAACTTCTACGGATCGGAATTCTGAACTCTGATGATGTTGACACCAGTCAAGAAAAAATTTAAGATTAAACTTGATGAAGCGCAACTTGACTTCAGAATCCGTTTCGCATCAACTTCTTAACCATGAGGGTGGCATAAGAGACATAACGTAAAGAATTATTGAGAATTGGAGAAGGTAATCGATTATCTTCTGTACCACGTTTGTAATATGCGACAGGTTTGGATGTGGCCAGGTCTGCAAAACAATATGGTCAATTCATAGGAACCATTACTGAAGGATCCCAATTGAACCTTGTGGGGCTTACACGCACATCAAGCAGTAAAGCATGAAAAGCTATTACACCAGCGATTTCTGCATCTCGTCGGGCTATCAGTTGATACGCATTACAGTATCCGTTTCAACCGACTGCTGCTCGAAATAAGAGGAAGGCCACTGTCGAAAACGTTCATGATGCTGGCCAACACTATGTAAGGTAAAGAAGAGCCACTGTTACTGAGTGTAAACATCAATAACTTAGGGTGCATTTTGGTGAGCAAGTCGCATCACATTTCTCTATCAAGCTCTGTGTGTCTCGATTGTTCTGTACAAAGTGATCGAAATGTTGAGGACAAGGTGTTCGATGATTCAGTGGGGTATCATTGCATTAGCTGTGTGAAACAGAAAACGATGATTTTTTGAAAAAGAAACGAAAACTAACAAATAAACAACATAAAAGAAGCAGGAAAGAAAGAAAGCATACTTGTAAGATGGTGTTGGTAAAATTCAATGACTCTAGCATTGCTTTTAAAATTTTATTCTTTAATCTATTATCTACAAAAACGTTTTTTGAAACTAATTAGGCATATCAAACTAATTTATGAGCTAAATAGATTAGATTAATATAATGTTTCGCCAAAATTATTAATATTGTTAAAATGAAACTAAAATATTCATACAAATTAATATGTTTACAAAAATTCAAATGTATAATTTTAAATAGATATTCTAACATGATATTGTGTTTAGAATTATAATCTATTTTATAATATTTTATAATTAGTTTAATTTTTTCTATATTCTAAATAATTTTTTAGATTAAAAATTAATTAATAGTAATAAAAGAAAATGATGTAAGTGAAGATTTACCAAAGGTTGTTTAGGTAGAAATAGATACTTTTAAATCTTCTAAAGGTGAAGAGATAGACTCAAAATTAGGAGGTGAACTTGACATTGACAAAGTAGAAGAAGAAGGATCTCAACCTCTTAGATCACAAAGGATTTATAAAGTCCTTCAAAGATATGGATTTGCAAAAACAAGTGCATTTGCATTGGTCATAAAGAATGGTGAATCTTCAAACTTTCAAGAAGCAATATAAGATAAAGACTACTATAGAAGAAAAATTACAATTTCAATAAAAATAGGGTCTTTGTATAAAAATAAGATCTAGACATTGGTGCCACTATTTAAAGATAAGAAGGCCATTAAATGCAAATGAATATACAAAAAGAAAGAATGAGTTCCAAAATCTAGTAGAATTAGATATAAAGTCAAACTAGTAGCAAAAAAATATGTTTAAAAAGAAGGAGTAGACTTCAACAAAATCTTTACACCAATCATAAAGAATATCTCTATATATAATTTTCTATCTATAGTAGGAATATTTAATTTGGAATTAAAGCAACTTAATATGACTATTGCATTCTTCTATGATAAATTAAATGAAGAGATCTAAATGTATTATGAAGAAGGATTTATAGTTCTAAAAAAATAACATATTTGCAAGTTATCAAAGTTATTATATAGTTTGAAATAGTCACCTAGACAGTAGAACAAATTGTTTGATATGTTTGAGTATATAGTATATATATTTTTTAGTTGTTTGAAGTACATACAACTATTATAACTGCTCATGTATAGCATTTTTAAATCATGAACATATCAAACAATTTGTACTCAAAGATATATCTTTGAGTACATAGTATATATATTGCATGTTGATCATATGTTAATTGCAGTAAAAAAGATGACAAAAATTTGTATACTAAAAACCCAAATCAATAGAAAGTTTGAAATAAAATATCTTGGTCTTATTAAGAAAATTTTGGATATAAAGATTGTAAGAGTTGACAAGAATTCAAGTTAATTCTATCTTAAAAGGGCTATATTGAGAGAGTTTTCTCTAAGTTAAAAATAAAGTATAGAAAACTTATAAGTACTCTATTTGATGTTTATTTTAAATAATTTTCACCTCTTTGTCTTATATTAGAAAAAAAAAAGTACAAAGACTCAATTCCATATTCAAGTGATGTTAGAAGCTTGATGTGGGCAATGTTTTGTACAAGGCCAATTATTTCATATATTGCTAGCATGATAAGTAGGTACATAGCTGATTCCAAAAAAAAAATATTGGTAAGTTGTAAAGTGGATACTTTAATATTTGAAGGAGACAATGTATGTAGGTATTGTTTACAACATGAGCAAAGAAGAAAAAGAAGAAATTGAAGGATTTGTAGATGTTGATTTTGTAAGAATCTATGATAAGAAAAGATCAACTACATAATATATATATATATATATATATATATATATATATTTACTTGGTGGTAGACATGTGAGTTGAAGATTGATGCTACAAGAAACAATAGTTCAATCCATGACAAAAACAAAATACATGGTTGCTGTAGAAGCAACAAAGTTGGCTATATGGTTGAAGCAACTTATTGGTGAGCTTGAATTAATTCAAGAAAATACTTAAGTTTTTTGTAAAAATCAAAGTATAATTTATCTGCAAAGAAATAAAGGTTCTAAGCTTAAACAAAATATATTGATGTAAAATATTTTTATATCAAAGTAATATTTATTGATGAAGAGATTTTATTAAAAAAAATTATTATTCAAAAAAATACTATAGATATGCTCATCAAACTTACATATGTTGAAAAATTAATTTTTTTTTGAATTTGATGAATTTAATAGAATGTTAAAAACTCTATTTTATTAGTTTTGCTGAATAAGTATAATACAAGCTAAGGTAGAGATTGTTGATATCAACTTATATTTTGTTAAATGATAATGTTTCTACAAGGTTTAGAATTGGTTCCAATGTTGGATTTAAAGGGAAAAAGCCTCCTTCACTAGGATGTAGGTCAAAGGTCCATTATTGTATAATGTAACTTCTTGTTTAATAATGCACTAAGCACCTAGCTATTTAAGATAAATAAAAAATGTAACAACAAGATCCTACTAAGCCTAATAGAAGCTTAATTAAATTCCAAGTAATTTTTTAAAATCCTAAGTAAACTTTAACCAATCTAAAAGAAATTTTAAAAAAATTACAAAAAAAATATAAGGAAATCATAAATTAATTTAAATAAATAATAAAGAAATTATAGAGAAATATAAAAAAAAATCCTTAAATAAATAAAAATAATATTTTAAAATATTAAAAAACATAAATATTAAATAAATTCTAAATAAACTCTAAGTAAAACTTTATCAAATCTTAATATAGCTCTAATCAAATTCTAATGAAAATCTATAATTTTAAATAAATTCTAACAAAATCCTATAAAATTTTAATAAAATCTTAATTAAATCCTAAATAAATCTTTGACCAAATCCTAATAAAATTTCAACCAAATTCTAACCAAATTCTAAACCAAATCTTAATCAAATCCTAAAAAAATCCTAAATTTTAAACCAATTTCTAATAAAATTTTAATAAAATCTTAATAAAATCTTAACCAAATCTTAAATTCAAAACCAGATCCTAAAAAAATCCGAAAAAACCTAAAAACAATTCTAAATAAATCTTAATAATTTTTTTAAGATTTTTTAAAATTTAAATAAATATTAATCAAATTTTTAATCTTAACTAAAATTTCACTTATATTTTTATCCATAAGTAATTAATAAGAATACAATATTTGAAGAAAATCAAATCCAATGCTTGAAAGAAGAGCTTCTAAAATCTCTTGGATGTTGGCCGCCTTCTTTCTCCAACTTGAATGTTGATCTTCCAATAGTTTTTTTTCTTTTTTGAATCTTTAAATTTGCATCAAAAATTGATTATTGTAGAGATTTTTTTAAAAAAAAATTCTCTCACCAATTTTTAATTTAATTAAATTAGAAGATATTTTAAAATCACAAAAATCTTTATTAATTCTAAATTTTAATTATCCTAAACTATAATCTATAAATTTTTTTATAATTATCAATTTAATAATTTGATTAACATCAAAATTTTCAAACACATTTATAACAAACACAATTATAGATTAACAAAATTTTACTTGTAATATGTTATGACACTTATAAAATCTTCAATTTTTTTAACTTTTTTTATTTCTCAAAATCCAAATCTATTGAATATATTTCTCATGTTGAAAAGCCTCCAAAATTTCTACATATATAATAGGGTATAGATAAGATAATTATATAGATAATTAGAACCATAGAAGTTTTTAGAATTGGACTTAGGTTACTGGATCAAGTAGGATCCACCATAGAGTATTCTAAAAAGGATTTAGGATAGTTATTTAAGTAGGGCCTACCATAGAACCTTCTAGAAGAAAGCTTAGCGTAGTTATCTAAGTGGGATCCACTATAAAACCTTATAAAAAGGAGTTTAAGGTGGTTATCTAGGTGGGGCCTATCACTTAAGAACATTCTAGAAAGTCTAAAGTACTAGGAGA